TTATTTATTTATTTGTTTATTTATTTTGGACAGGGTCTCGCAATGTTGACCAAGCTGGTCTCAAACAAATCCAGCTCAATGAAGTCTCCTTGTCTCAACCTCCCAATTGCCTGTGGATTACTGATTATGGGAACTATACCCAGTTTTAAGAAACTAGTTTAATAACTGATATACTCACAAATAACATTGCAGTCCTTAAAAATCATGTTTTAAAAAAAGTATTTCATGAATGATAAGTTCTTATAATTTGAGTGAAAAAGCAAGATAAAATACTCTGTACAGTTTATTTTGAAGAAGAAAAAAAGTGGAGATTTTGAGATGCTGGAAGAAAGAAGCCAAAATCACAACAATTTAACAGAAGTAATTCTGAATGGCAAGATTACTAAGTATTTTTTTTTATTTTTCTTTTCTTTGTTACTTTTTGTCTTTTTTTTAACACAGTGCTGGGGATCAAACCCATGTCCTTACAAATGCTAGACAAGCACTCTACCACTGAGTCAAGAGTGAACTTGAACCATTGTAATCAGAATAAAATTGGTATCGTACTTAAAATTAAAAGAATGCAGTAAAAGAGAGACTTACAAAAACCTAAAGCCTTATTAAAATTTAAGTCAAAAGGTACTGGCTTGAGAAAAATTAAGTAGAATAGAAATACACTTATATGTATGGAATTAATACCTGAAATAAGAAGGTTTTGCCAAATATTAAATGAAAAAATTTATGTCATAATTGATTCAGTTATAATAATTGATAATGAAGTGTGCCTGCTGTGGCCAGGTACTATGCTTTGTGCTCTTACATGCCTTTTCTCTTATTTACAAACCGTTATTTATTTTATTTATTTGTTTTTTTTTTTTTTTTGGTTTTTTTTTGCAGCATTTGGGGTTGGAACTCAGTGCCTCATACTTGCTAGGCAGGCATTCTACCACTTGACAACTTCCACTAGCTCTACAACCTCTTTTATTTTTTTGCATTACTAGGATTTGAATTCAGGGTTTTTGCTGTAGTTATTTTGGAGATAGGATCTTGCTTTATTTGCACCAGGCTCCCTGAACCTCGAGCATCCTATTTTACTCTCCGGACATCACTTGGATGACAGGCACATGCCACCACGTCCAGCTATTGTTGAGATGGGGTCTCACGAACTTTTGTACAACTGCAAATTCTCCCAATCTAGTAGCTAGGATTACAGGCATTGAGTCACAAGCACTGGATTCCTTATTACAACCTTTTGAGCTACAGGAAGTAATATTTCTTATTTTAGAGATGGGCAAACTAAATCCTCTAGAGGTGATGAGACAGTTGCTCAAAAAGGAAAAGGAATTGTGGAACTTCCAAGGGCTATCAGACTCCAAGTTTGTATTTCTTTGCTACTACATCCTATATAAAGAAAAGTGTCTAGAATATCAGAGGTATTTGCTAAATGTTATTCCTATGAGTAACAGTTTGCTGTAAGTTGTAATACATTGTATTACATTGTAATAGAATATATGATACTTGCATATAGTGTATATACTACAATTACTACTAGTAGTAATAGTAAAGATATCCTATTGTCATTGAGATTAAAGAAATTTTTCTTGGGACATAAATAATGCTGTAGTTTTGCCAGGGAAAACCCCAGTAGATTCATATAATTTGGATAGTAGCATATAATAAGCATCACGTAATATTGGCTGATTGAATTGTTATTATTTCCAATGTCCCTTTTCTTTTATTCTCTGACTTATTAGACTCTACACTCTGTCTCATAATTCATTCAAGACTAGTTGAATTACAGCACTGGCTCAAAGATGAAGCTTAGCATTTCCGTTTTTTATTTGTTCAGCAAATATTTACTGAGGACCTATTCTGCTATGCCTTATACTAAGGATGGAAAGACATTTCAAATTTTCAAGTTGACATCAAAGCATAAATCAAACCATCTGGGTGTGGTAGCTCACACCTGTAATCCAAGCTACTTGGAGGTAGAAATCTGGAGGATTGCTGTTCAAGGCAAGCCCAGGCAAAAAGTTTGAGAGTCTGCATTCCAACCAAGAAAATGCTGGTATGGTGGTGTGTGCCTGTCTTCCCAGCCATGTGGGAAGTGTAAAATAGAAGGATTATGGTTGAAGACAAGCTTGGGCATAACAAACAATATCCTATTCAAAAAAATACCTAAAAACAAAAAGGACTGGGGGCATGGTTCAAGGGGCAGAATGCCTACCTGGTGAGTACAAGACCTTGAGTTCAAAGCCCAGTATTGCCCCCACCAAAAGTGTATATTCAAACCAAAGAGTTCCAATCCGTAGGAAATGAATCGTTCTCCTCTGTGGAGTCTTCTCTGATTCTTACAGGTATGTTTAGTTAGTCCGTCTCTCCTTAGAGCACCCAGATCATACACAATTGTTGTGCTATATTGGACTTTCTATGAGCTTGTCTGTTTCTCACACTTGACTCCTTAGGTCGATGTGAGTCCTACAGTTTTGCTTTGGAAGGTTTGTTTTCTGTAAACTTTTTTGTTTTGTTTTGCTTTTGTTTGTTTTTATACATCCTAAATCTCATGGTAATTCACATGGGGCATTTTAAAGAATATGGGTTTTTTTGTACAAAATCAAACATTTAGATTTTATGTGATTCTATTAAACAAGTCTTCTATAATTTTGAATGTATTTTAGCTGTATTGTACATGTCATAGCTTTGATAGCAGAATACTGAAGTCTCCCACAATACTTGCATTTGTGTTCATTCCTTCTGTTTTGCTTTACATTTTGCCAACAAACTAGGATGCAAGTGTTAAAAGATAAAAGAATAGGCAAAGTTAAATCAAGAAACTACAAATCAAAAGAAAGAAATAATAATAGATAAAATATTTTTGGATAAAAAAAAGTATTTTTAAAAAGAATATTTTAAATTGATTAAGAGTATAAAGCATGAATTATGAATTAAATATATAGCATCAAAAAGTATAAAATATGGCTGGAGGTGTGGCTCAAGTGGTAGAGTCCTCTCTAGGAAGTGTGGAGCCCTAGTTCAAACCCCCAGTACCACCAAAAAAAAAATACTAAGCAAAAAGTATAAATAGATCATTAAAGTATGAATATATTTTCCAAGTGGACAAAGTGTGAGCAGGGAAGTGGATAGGAAGTATTCTGGGCAATGGTAAGTTTTGCAGGGTCCAGGGAGATTCCTGCTGTGGAACCCAGTTATTTAGAATTTAGTTCCTAAAAAAGTAAAAGGGTTTGTTGGCATATCCTGCCATACCAGAATCATCCTATAGTTCACAAAAATAACAATTTGGGTTGAAGTAAGAGTAATGTTGGTAGGGCTGCTTATGCTGTTTTAATCATTCCAAAGGAGGAAACAATAGTTCAGAGATGTTCCTAGATTCTAAACCAGTCTGTCTAACTGCAGAGCTCTGGCTCTCCTAGGGCAGCACACTGCCTCCTGGTGGTAGAATTGGACTAGAATTCCCAGGATCCCATCCCATGTACCACTCAGACTAGATCACTCCTTGTATTAAATACCGTTTCTAAAGTCTTACACAGTTCCAGGAATTATGCGTGGGCCTTCAGGGAGTTAAGGATAGACTTTATACTTAAATACTTGTATTTTTTCCTCTCCTTATCTCTTACTCTGTCTCTCCCTACATTCTCAGTATGTAGAACAGTAAGACATTCAATTTGTGGACATCCAATTCAAATACTCATCAGTATTTATTTCTTTCATTAATAGATTTCCTATCTTAGAAAATAGCCCCATATCATCCAGTCATCTGACCAGCCCAGAATTCTAGGAGTCATAGACTTTTCCTTTTTCTTCATTCCCTTCCCATAAAACCCATGACCAAGAGCTGGGCATGCAGCTTAAGTGGTAGAGCACTTGCCTAGCATGCATGGGCCCTGGGGTTCAATCCCTGACACCACACACACACACACACACACACACACACACACACACACACACACACAAATTCATGACCAATTCCTATGGATTATATCCTCAAATCTCTTGTCTTTTTTCCTCTGGCCTACTCCATCTCCTGTGCTAGTGCCTTTGTTCAGTCCCTTTTTGGCTACAGATTCAGTTGCTTTCCATACCACTTGTTCCCTGCCCCCCACCTTCTGAGCCAGTCAGTATAAAACCAGTCAATATCACTGTCCTGCTGACAATCCTTAAATGTCTTCCTACAGTTTCAGGATGAAGGTCCAAGTTGCATAATTGTTTGGAGACCCTCTGTGATCTGGCTTACTTTCTAATCTTGCCTTCTATATTTAGCTATATATATTCTATAGCTAAAACATGTTTAAAACTCAGCTCCTGCTGACTTTTTCAGGATGTCCTTTCTTGAATCTTATAGTTCTGGGGTTCTTCTGTGCTCTCATAGCACCTTGTGCGTTCTTTTCTCTTGGTGCTTATTAACACACTATTCTGTTATTGTTGGTGTACATGCCTGTCACCTCTACCACCCAGAGTGCAATTATCAAAGGCAGAGTGTGTGTGTGTGTGTGTGTGTGTGTGTGGTGTGTGTGTGTGTGATGTTGGGGATGGAACCAGGGTTTCTGCTGATAGGCAGGTCCTCTACCACTGAACTATATCCGTAGCCCTTGGGGTTTGTGAGACAGGGTATTTCTATGTAGTTCAGGCTGGTTTCAGACTCTCCATCTTCCTGCCTCTGCCTCCAATTAACAGGCATGCGCAACACCCTGGCACCGTGGTAGATTCTTAATAAGTGTTTGTGATGTGAACACATGAGGTTTGTGACCTAATGATGATGTTTCTATTTTCTAGGTACATGGTTCAGTGGCCTGGTGGTCGAATTCTGCATCGCCATGAACTAGACACCTTCCTTGCACAGGCAGTGTCAACCCAGCTTTATGAACCAGATCAACTCCAAGAACTGAAGGTGATTTGATCTACCCTCATTTACATGCTTTCCTTTTTGGGCTCTTTTAGGTCTTTTTTTCCCCTTGTTCTGGAGGGGGAAGAATAAGTTCTGCAAGTAAATGTTTGATTTACTTTAGTCAGATATTTATGTTTATTAATAAAACCAAGAGGTGCTTGCTGTATTTCTCCCATACCGATGGAAGAAAATGGATAGAAAAGATGTATATTGTGCAAGGCAAATAAACCATGGCCCATAGATCATGGTAAAATTTCTGACTCTTGTAAGTATATTACAGGGGACTTATCCTGCTGTCTATCCTTGCTTGTCTCTTTGAGTAAATGTGTAATCCCTCCCTTAATGATACATAATGGGTATTAGGGGAAATAGAGAAAAGCATAAGGAAGAAAATCTCCCATGTAACTGAAGGCAGTAGAACATAATAGTGAGGATATAAGGAAAAGATGTAGGAGGATGAATATGGTGGAAATATTATGTACGCATGTATGAAAATGGAAAAATGAGACCTGTTGAAACTATTCCAGGAATGTGGGGCAGGTAAAGGAGAATGATGGAGGAAGTGAAGGAAGTGAATTCAACTATGATATATTATTAAGATATTTGTAAATTTCACAATGTACCCCAGTACAACAATAATATGATAAAAAAAAAAGAATATAGTAGTATATAGAGTAGGTGCTGAAGCCCGGCTGCCTTGGGTTTGAATGGGTTCATTACCTCTTGGCTATGTGACTTCAGTAGGTTATTTTGGTAGCTTCAGTTTCCTTACTTGTGAGATTGTGAGTATACTAAGTAAAATAACCCATGTAAAACATTTATAAATCCCTTGTATATTTTAAATATATAGTATTCAATAAGTATTAGCTGTTAATTCAGGATATCCTACCCCTGACTTCAGTAACTATGCTTCTTTGAGTTCCTAGGGTAAACTAGAAGATAAAGTCCAATAAGATTTGCAAAATTAAATTAGGTGCAGTGGCACACACTTGTAGTCTCACTTGAGACTGAGGCAGGAGAATCACAGACTGCACAGCATAGGGAGACCCATTCTCAAAAAGTAGATCTGGGGCGGGTATAGCTCAGTGGTAGAGTGCTTGCCTAACATGCAAGACATCTTGGGTTCGATCCCCAGCAACACACACACACACACACACACACACACACACACACACAACTTGCAATATCTTTTAAGTGAGGTCAGCCAAGGGAAAGATGCAGCAGTCTAAGACAAGCAATGAATGTTTCCTTTTGCAGTAATATTGCTGGGTCCTAGAACAGCTCCTGACACCAGATTCACCTAGGAGAGGACCTGCAATACTTCCCGTATCCTGTTAAGCCATCTAACATGCCAACTTGATATAACCATTGTGAAAATTTTGATGTTTTCTTCCAGTCTTTTTGTGTTTGTGGTGTGTGTGCATCTGCAGTACTGGGGATTGACTCTTCCAGTGTTCTACTGTGCTTGTTTTATATATCTAAAATATTGTTTATGCATCTGCTTTGTAAGCATGAATCCCTGAGTTCAAAACCCAGTACCACCAAAAAAAGAAAAGATAGTGTTTATGCACTTTATACCTGCAGTTTCTCCATCTGCAGATTCAACCAACATCAGATTGAAAATATTTTTAAAAAGTTACATCTGGCTAGGCATAGTGGTGTATGCCCTTAATCCCAGCACTCAGAGGGCTGAGGCAAGAAGATTATGAGTCAGACCAGTCTAGGCCATATAGTGACTTTGTGGCTAGCCTAGAGACTACATAGTGAGAACCTGTCTCAAAAAAAAAAAGTTACATCTGTACTGAATAGACTTTATTTCTTGTCATTCCCTAAACAATAGAGTATAATAACTATTTACATAGCATTTACCTTGTATGTATACAGGAATATGTGTAGGTTATATGCAAATACTGTATTGTTTTATAAAAGGGTTGGGCATCCACAGATTTAGTTACCTTTGAGGGGTCCTGGAACCAATTCCCCAAGAATACCAAGAGACGACTATATTGTGTTTTCACTTAAAATAGCACATATTTTCTATGTGTTAAAATTTTTTAACATGTAGATTTTTAAATAATTTATCATATGCTGTATTATTTAATTATTATAGTGTTGACCATTTAGATTATTCCCATTATATGTAATGTTGTCACTAACATATTTATGCATAGAGCTTTATTGACATTTCTACTTCCTTAGAGTAGATTCCATAATCCTATGCAATGTTTTCTAAAATATTTTTAGTGTGCCTGTGCTTTGACTGAAGCCTATCAACATGAGGCCAGGTATGAAATTTTCTATCATGTCAATCCTCAAAAAGTTTTAGATTTTGGAGCATAAAGTGCTCCAAAAGATTTGAGATTAGGGATGCTCAAACTGTAGTTTCTTTTTTTGTAGCTTCTTAATAGTAATTTTTTTCTATCATGCTTTCAGATTGAGAAACTGGATGCCCGAGGGATCCAGCTTGCTGCCCTGTTCATGAGTGGGGTCGACACAGCTCTGTTTGCTAATGATGCCTGTGGCCAGCCAGTCCCTTGGGAGCATTGCTGCCCCTGGATTTACTTTGATGGCAAGCTGTTCCAGAGCAAGCTTATTAAAGCAGGCCGAGAGCGAGTATCCCTGGTTGAACTCTGTGATGGCCAGGTACCAGCACATTGGGCAGCTACTAAGGGCCATCTCTGATCTGCAGTAGAAATTAATGAATGAACAGGGAGGAGAAAGGAGCTAAAACATTGGGAAGCAGAAGTAGGAAAATATGTCTAACATTAATCTTTGTTAATCAACATGGTCCCAAAAGCCCAAAGTCTGCTATGTACATGTTATAAAGTCCTATGCTGAAAAGTTTTTTTACATGCTTAAAGTTTTCATATCCCCTTTCTTAACTACAAAGATTTCTTCCCCATGTAATACTTAGATCTACTATATGCCTTACCTCTCTTAGGATTTTATTTCCTGTATTTTAAAAAACTGTACATCACATCACTTTTTCAAGTGATAATTTAAAAAAAAACTATGTTTAGTATACAAAAGAGTAATAAGTAGATGAGTAAAGCACAGGAGTTTTTACAATAAAACCTTGGAAAGGTGAGGGAGGGCAAGAGAAAGGAAAACCTTATTCTTTCATCCATTTGGGGATGGTGAACTGAAGAATGAGAGCAGTGGCCAGTAAACTACTCCTAGCCTGCCCCCCGCTCCCTTTTTGTAATACATCCTACCTTCTATTTTTTATAAGTAAAAAATTTTGAAACAAAGATATGCAAAGATATGCATATGTGTGTGACTGTCTTCATGCTACAGTAGCAGAGGGGAGTAATTTTGGCAGAGACAGTGTGGTCCACAAAGCCTAAAATGTTACTATCCTACTCTCCAGAAGAAGTTTGCCTATCTCAGGACTAGACATACACACTTATCCTGGTCAAGAGCTCAGGGTCTCCAATCAGGGGTATGAAGGACAAAGTTAAAAGGCTTTGTATATGTCATACTTTTGCTCTTCTCTCTTTTACCTAATTCTTTTTTCTCCCCCTTAAAAATGAGATAGCCTATTGTTAGCCATGTAATCAACCATCAGTAAATCCTTAGGTTATATTTGTTTTATTGACCTGCTTAATGTGCCTCACAAGCCCTCTGTCAGAATTAATCTGGTGGTAATGTGGTTCATGTGATGAAGTGCAGGCTTGGATGCGAGAGAGGCTTCCTCACTATTGTAGCTTGGAGGCATTTAACTCCAGGCTCAATTCCTTTAATGGTAATAGAATTGTGAGACTGTACCTAGAGTGCTCAATACTGTGCCTGAAACATGGGAGAAGTTTGGAAAAATGGTCAGCTACTATTATTATTCCTTTCCTCATTTGAAGGCTGACCTGGCAACCAAAGGGAAAAGATGAGACAGAGTATCCGTTGAAGGAGTCACATGAATCATCCACCACCTTCTGCTCTACTTCCATCACCTACTTTTTGTGCCTCCATGGTGCCCTCCTCTCACCCGTGTTTTCACTTTTTCCCGAGCCATGGGCTCAATTCCACCCCCGCCATCAAGCCGAAGCCGG